ACTCAGATATATGTTGTAGATAACTAGTTTCATTAAAATACTCTCAACTCCTGGAATTGCCTAAATTTTTCTCATAAATGTAGGCCTTGATTTATTAATTAAAATACTATAAAACAAAAACCAGTCTGTTAAGTTCGAGGTAATCTTGTGAGGCTTAGTGATTCTATTAATCGATGCTTGTGCAAGTCATGAGTCCAAAACTAAGAAAGGGAAAGTACATCTGAGTGAGAGACTTGATGACTGTGGTCAAGGAGCTTCATAAAGAAAGTGTACATAGGTTTACCTGCAGAGTATTTTATCATTTCTCTACCAAGTGACGTGGGTAAACTTGAAAATAAGAATAAGGCCAATATTTCAAATAATTATGCAGTGACTAGTTTCATCCTACTCTACTTTGCTCAGAGACAGCGTTTAAAAATGAGATAAGCTCTTAATCTTGCCCACATCTATTTTAACTTGAACTGCTTTTTCCACATTAGATTATTATAACAAAGTTTTATTTAGCATTGAAGTGTTTATAGTGTTAGACTCTTAAATGTTCAGAAAAAAACAATCTATTTCTGTTATCCACAGCCCTGGCCTTTGCACTAAAGTAGAAAAGTATATTTTAAGTTGCTATATAGGCAACTACATAATTCGTTCCTATTTGTTTCAGACCTGATAGGTACAGCAGTCAAGTGTTTGAAATTCAATTGAACAAATGTGATGTTATACTAAATAGAATCTTACACGTCATTTTCTTGAGAGTTTGTGAATGGTCTCAAAGGAGTGCAGTAGGCTTAAAATAATGGAGTTTTATGTTGTTTTTGAAAAAATAAAATGTGAAAATGTTCATTAAACGAAAAATTTAAGGTTAAAGGTTAAATACATTCTACCCAAACCTAGTTTTCTATCTCTCTATAAAACATGAATGGCCCATAAATTTAAAGATAGACATGGTATTTAAAATTTAGGTAAAGAATTGGTAATAACTGAAAAATTCCATGAAACTTCCACATTTAACAAATTGAAAATACCTGTCAGAGACTGGCAAAGAAACAATCCAAATATTATCATTAAATCAGTATAAGATTCAATAGCCATTCACAATATCCATATAAACTTCATATTAAATTATATACATTCTACTCTTAAAGTATGACTGAGAATACATAGAATTTGTTTTTCAGAGCATATGGATATAATAGATTGCAAATTGTCAATATTTTGAGAAATTAAAAGATATAGGCCAAGTATTAAAATATACCATAAAAGATCTTATGTTAGATCCGACACCCAAACTTAACCTTCTATAAGACCCTGGTCATTGAGAGGAGGGACTATTATTAGACCTGTTTTGGTCTGGTTATTTTAACATTTAGTAGAAAGAATCTGATGACTGGAGAGAACATTGGAGTTTGTGAAGAAAAATTAGAAAAGTATAGGAAATATAGAATATTGTCAGTAATCTACCTGACCTGTTAGCTTTTGCATTGTTTTTCTTCAATGGAGAATAAAGGAAATATATGCTACAAATAAAGGTAAGTATTTGTTGAAATTATTAATTATTCTGATAGCCCCAGATCTCATAGATTGTTTGTGTTTTTACAAATGTCTGATATTTAGGAACTAATTCAAGGATTAGTTTATTAAATATTTAGCTAATTTATTCTTTCCATTTTTTAAAGGAATCTAGGCAAAAATGGCTTGTCTAACAGTAGCATTTTGTTGGATAAATGCCCACCTCCAAGAGCACCATCTTCACCATACCCTCCCTTGCCAAAGGACAAGTTGAATCCACCTACACCTAGTATTTATGTGAGTCTGAATTGAATCAAACCAGTGTTTGTACTCAGTTTTAGATGATCCTTCTTTAATACATACACCTTTAGTAAACATTAAAAGTTTTATCAGCAATATAATTTTTTGAATGGAAGAAGTTAACTAAACCTTTAACTTTAAGGTGGTTTCTAAATCTGTATTCTACCAACTAGTAGATGTGTGGACATTCGTTCTGTTTTATTCATCTATAACAAAGGATGTTTGAGAATGTATGATGTGATAGGTAGATATATCACTAAAAAGCTACAAAAGTTACATAAGACTAGGTATTATTTTCACTTAATAGAAATTTAGACATTTGATAGAGGACAATCAAAACACCTATTTCTCTTACTCCGAAATTGGCCTTCCTGTATCATTTTTTCCCCCATACTTCCCCTTCTATTCTAATTTATAAAAGTGTTACCCTGTAAAATTATAATCTTTCACGTATGAAATGACAGTGGAGTTTGGTTTTGAAGATAGCAACTTGACTTACTAATATTTCCTCCAACCAATATTTATTGATTTCCGAAACTAGGTTAAACTTTTTAAAATGGCTGTTTGAGGGAAAATATACAAAATAAGCATTTGTCCTTTTGGGTTTTCTTCAGCCTGATTTCATTTTTATAATTTTATTTTAAAACACTTTGGTTTTGAAGTTAAATTTTATTTCTCACACGTTTTGTTTAAAATCAAGTAGACAAATTTATGTAATTACTATCTAATTGCAATTAGGATCAAAGGACATAAGAGTAAAAATTTAAATTTAACAGTAGCAATAGCAGTAGTATAAAGGATGCATTATTTATTTAAACTGCAATAAACAATGACTTTGACATAATACTTAAGTAAAAGCTCCCTTTTCCTAAGATCTAACTACAAATTTTAATTTTATAGTTGGAAAATAAACGTGATGCATTCTTCCCTCCATTACATCAATTTTGTACAAACCCAAGCAACCCTGTTACGGTAATACGTGGCCTTGCTGGAGCTCTTAAGTTAGGTAAGCTTTACATTAGGGAAATTTTTAAAAGGTTGGTATATTTCTTTTATTATCTTTTAACTTCTAAACACCGGCAACAATTCATTTGGATTATGATTCTTTATGTGTTTGTATTTTAATATTTACTGGCTCTAAGTGTGTATGTGTATTTAATTCATAATGTTACTATACAATAATATTATTGGTTACATCATAGTTTTAAACTTTACCTCCTTTTTGCCTAATTATAGAATTATGGTTTATGTTAACTATTTTTAAAAGTCTTAGTATAAAATGTGAGCAAACTTTAATGTTACTGCTAAGTGCTATGGCCCTCTGGGTATTTCTTGGCATCTACAGAAATTAAGTAAGTGAAACTTAATTCCTGGACCCTTGATTCTCTCTGTGTTGGGGTGATGTGACAATTAGGCCTAAGGCTTTAGTGTATGATTGTGCAAACCTGCCATTCCACAGCTCACGATTTATAGAGTCCCTGCTTTGTTTATAGAGAAACAGAATAAAGCACCATGCAATGACTCCCCCTTAATTAAAAAGCACTTCAAGACTATTATTACAAATGAAATTTTGTATATTAATTACATTTACATTTATTTATATCTAAAGATCTGGGACTTTTCTCTACCAAAACATTGGTAGAAGCTAACAATGAACATATGGTAGAAGTGAGAACACAGTTGTTGCAGCCCACAGATGAAAACTGGGATCCCACTGGAACAAAGAAAATTTGGCATTGTGAAAGTAGTAGATCTCATACTACAATTGCTAAATATGCACAGTACCAGGCTTCCTCATTCCAGGAATCATTGAGAGTAAGTAGTTACTTGCTGAAGATTATTTCAACATGTTAAAGATTATTTTATTTTGAAGTATTAAAAGGGCATGTTGCGTTTATAAAGATGATTATTTTATGAGTATATAAAATAATTTTAAATGCCTTTTTAACCTAACTCGTATTTAAACAATCCTGTAAGTTGATTAAATATTGTTATGGCCAAAATACAGTTATGGCTACGCAGAACTACTATCTGGTGACATTTTGGGCTGGATATTTTTTTGTTGATGAGGATTGTCTTATGTATCATAGGTTATTTAGTAGTATCTCTGGCCTCTATCCATTAGCACATCTCCACTCCTAATGTAATGGTCAAAATAACTCGACATTGCCAAATACTGGGAGGTGAAATCATTGATTGAGAATCACTGATTGAGAGGAGTAAACTAAACCTCACATTTACAGAACACTTGCCCTATGTTTTCTCATTTGTATTTTCTCTGCCAGGTCAATGTCAAAGACACATACAGCAACTTAGATGTTAACTTTGTGGGGGGTGTTACAATAGTAAGGGTACCCTGTTGTGGGACATTATGCTTCATTGATTTTTGTTTAATCTATAGGAAGAAAATGAGAAAAGAAGTCACCATAAAGATCACTCTGATAATGAATCTACATCTTCAGATAAGTAAGTAATGTTTAATGTTCACTTGGTATGTCCTGTTTTAAAAGGTATGTTTTTAATATTCTCTCTCTGTCTCTTTTTCCAAAGTCCTGGACGAAGGAGAAAAGGACCCTTTAAAACCATAAAGTTTGGGACCAACATTGACCTGTCTGATGACAAAAAGTAAGTCCTTATAGTAGTATTTCTGAAAACTAATACAAAGAGGTATCCCTTGCAATATTGGGGACTGTGTAACGTTTCCTCTTCAATTTCATTTCTTGTAATGTTTTTTTAATTTTCTAAGGACACAAATAAATTACTATCACTAGATTTTTCGGTTAGCTTCTTTGGTACAGTAGGTTAAGGGTTGGGCTGCTCACCGGAATGTTGGCTCTTTGAACCCACAAACCACAGTATAAAAATGACACAATCTGCTTCGGTAAAGATTTGCACCCTTGAAAACTATAGACAGTCAGTTGGAATTTACTTAACAGTGGTGGACTTTGGTTTAGAAGATTGTTTTACAGTTTTTAAAGTCAGGAGTGCCCTTTTGTTAATTGCACAATCATAAAACTATGTAATTATAAGATAGAACTATAAAAATAGAAAGTCAGTTATTTTCTTTAATTTACTGGGTTCATAATTTCTGTGCTTTTTTCCAGTAATGACTACTACTTCTTACTGTTAAAATATTTGTAGATTTGTTTTTCTGATTGGAATATAAGATTGTTAAAGAAATTATTAAATTTCACAAATATTTGCAACAGAGTTTCAATCTTGATCTGTTCTATTGCAGGTGGAAGTTGCAGCTACATGAGCTGACTAAACTTCCTGCTTTTGTGCGTGTCGTATCAGCAGGAAATCTTCTAAGCCATGTTGGTCATACCATACTGGGCATGAACACAGTTCAGTTATACATGAAAGTTCCAGGGAGCAGAACACCAGGTAATTTTTGTGAACTAATGTATCTTGTACCATTTAAATACCAAATTACTCAAAATATGAAAGATAAAAGAGAACTAGACTGTTACCATTTACAGTGATTAAAGCTGAAAGAAATGTACCTGTTATAAGATTAAGCAGTCGTAGGGTCAGATTAAGACACATACGCGCACACACACGCACACACTTCACATTATCTTTTTACTTTTTTAAAATAGAGTAGTTCTAAAACACTATTAGCAATTTAATCTGGAAAAGGTCAGGTCAGTGGTGCATTTTGGGGAAATTATAGTTTCTGCCCTTAAAATTCTATTTTTGAGCCAATCTACTTCCGAGTGATATAGTGCTTAGTTTTTAACTTTTTTGACACTACATTTGTAGTAGGAACTATTAGGATGAATGTAAAAGTATTACTACTAGGGTTCCAGTTCATGCATGCATGGGCTTATTACAAATAAAATGTGTTTAGACTTGTCTTTGCTGCAGATATGGTCTCTCAGTAACACACTTAGTTTCTCAAGGGTACCTTCCCTCCACAAAAGATTTAATCAAATCATTGAATTCTGGGGATCTGCTGAACCGGTTAAATTTGAGGCAGAGAGTTTTCAGAAAGTTATAGTGACTGGTATTTGAGGTTTGAGTTGGGGGATAGATTCTCTCAAAGGACACAGAATGAACATGGAGCATATTATTTAAAAAGTCTTAAGAAAATGGAAAACTTCTTTGATCAAGAACAGGGCAGGAACGTTGCATCAAGGGATTTTTTCCCTTTACAACAATGTACCAGCTCATTCTTCAAGAGCGGGCTGTCCTAGGAGAATTTCATTGAGAAACCTTACCCTACTGGCCGGCCCTATAGCCCTCTTCTGATGCCTTCAGACTTTTTTTTTGTTCCTTAAACTCTTAAGAACATTTAAAAGGAGCATAATTTGAGCCCCTCTAAGACTCAAAATTGCTATTATGACATACTATAAATGAAGAAGCACAAAATTCCCTCAAGAACATTTCAGACAATAAAATTCATTACCATCTTATCAATTTCAGCTCATAGCAATCCTATAGGACCAAGTACAACTGCCTCTGTGGATTTCCAGGATTAACTACAGGAGTAGGAAGTTTTATCTTTCTCCTACAGAGTAGCTAGTGAATTCAAACTACTACTGACCTGCAGCTCTGCTCATAAACCACTATGCCACCAAGACTCCTCTCAGGAAAGTTTAGAGAGATGGAAATATTATTTCCAGGAGTATTTACATTTGAGTGAAGGATGCACTGAGAAACAATAGACTCATATGCTGATATTTTTGTGTAATACAGGTTTATGATTTTGTAACAGTATTTTTTTACCTCTTCTGATAATTTCATATCACAATATAGTGACATGAATGTATGTTAAAAGGTTCAGTAAAACATGCTTTTTCTAATCAATACATTAGAAACTTTAGTTTATTTTTAAAACACTTGATGTGGACTCATTAGACTTATCTTGGTACCTAATTTGAATTTCACAGCCGCTAGCTAGGCTTAAGTCTCTTAGCAAGCTACTTTCATTCTTCAAAACATTTTTCTTCATTTTAAAATAAATTATATTGGTTTTAGACTTTAAATTTCATTACAACTAATATTCCATGTTCTTGGTGCTTATTTGGATTCACATAAAATTTGACTAGACAGTGCTCAAAATACTTAACAATATCTACAACCTAGGCCTACCACTTATCTGTCAATTTGTTGTACTATGGTGGGTTGTGTGTTGGGGTGACACTGGAAGCTATGCCACTGGTATTTTTAATACTAACAGGGGCACCCAAAGTGAACATATTTCAGTAGAGCTTCCAGATGAACAATCAAATATAATGAATAAGCTGTCTACTTCAGAGTAATTAGCCACTGAAAACCCTGAAGGCAGAGCATTGTCACAGATAGTGCCAGAAGCTGAGACCTTCGGGTCAGAAGGCACTCAAGATATGCCTTGGAAAGTTTCCCTTCTCAAACTGGACTCGACCATATGAAATGGATGGAGTAAAGCCAGGGGAAGGAAAGCCTTTCAGAACCCTCAATGACTTGTCCATAGCAAATACCTTTCTTACAATAACACAAAAGGTGATTCTGCACATGCACTTCTGATTAAGTACACAGAAATCAAATCGACTACATCACAATTGTGAGAATCTAGTTGCATATGTTATAGATACATCTCAGTTCATACTAGCCAAATTAAAAGTGTACAAAAGTCATGGCTAGCAGCTACCATTTTGGACAATACAATATTAGCAGTGTTAAATAGTTTAATTAGTTCAAATCAGGAAGCATTATTTTGAGTTCCTGATTATAGGGTGAACAATTTGTTCCTGGGATTACATAGGTAAATATTAGTGGTGCTTATTACAATGTCTTCACAATCATAAGTTATATTCTCATACTCTGCTCTAAGAGACTTTTATTTAGATAATGTGGTCCAATGTTAGAGCTTAACATATTTTAGACCCCATCACATGGATTATTTCCTAATTATATAATCTGATATAAAAGATTTAGATATATGTAAACTATAGATAATATGAATGGATTTTGATTTTGCACTTAATCATAGTCCTTATCTAAGAAAAATTAGTACTTAACGGCATGAAGGAATCCCTGAAGGTAAGGGTGCTACAGCAAAGTATGGTGAAGAATGCAGGTGCCTGGTTATAAAGAATAGCATCTTGGATCTTAAAGACTTATCTTTAAAAAGCAGCCATCTAAGGGAGGTGTCAGCTAAGTTCAGCCGGAAGACGCATACCAGTCTGTGTGATCCTAGTATTGTTTTTTTCTTTTTTCTAAAGCAACATCAGAGAACGAAATTGTATTAGAGCTTAAATTCTGAGCACCTGGCTTGCAAAAGGCTATGGATAACATAGAAAGCCCCAGATCTATTTGCAGTGTTCCCATGTGGATTAAAACTCTGGTGACCATGGACCAGGAATGTGAATAGCCTTGCTATCAGGCAGAGTAGTCTAATGCAGATGTAGTTAGGTTAAAATTAAACACCTTATTTATTATTTGTTCTCCCTTTTGACCCATTTTAATTTTGCTCTAGTTTTTAATAATTTTATGCTTGCTTTTTGATTGAAGCTTTTTTCTTTTGTTACTGCTGTTGGTTTTGTTTCTGATTTTGTATATGATAGCCAGAATAGTAAATCTTAAACAGACAATTACTAGGTTAATAGTTTCTTAGGGTTATGGCAGGGAAGCTTGGGGGGGAATGCAGAGATACTAATAATGGGTACAAGAAAGAAGGAAATTTTCTGTGTTAATTATGATGATGATTACACAACTCTTAATGTGATTTAACAATTTAATTGTGTGACTTATAAATTCTATGTCAATAAAATTTAGAATTAAAAAACATAATCAGCAAAAACGTACAATTGAGGCCTCAGTTTTTAAAAGTGATGTAAAAGACTTGCTTGGCAGAAGGCGAAGAGTTTTTCTTTTTTTAATTGCAATAATATCAAATTAAATATTAATTTAAAGTGAACAATTCAGATGGAGTTTTGTGCATTGGCTATTATGTGCTGTCTAGTTCCAAGAGTGTCTAGTTTCCAAAAAGAAAGCCATTGAGCACCATTTTGGTAAGATTGATTCTGACAGTTTTTGTCAACTTTGTTGGTCTTTCTGGAGAGGGATGGCTCCCCAGAGCTTTCCTTCTCTACCATTTTGCTGACATCACTTCCAATAGCAGCTACATTTTTAAACCAGATTTTTGCCTCTTTACCAATAGCCTAATATTCTTTTGGAGAAATGGAGATTCATTTACAAGAAAGAAATATTAATGAAATTGATATCAGCTTTTTTTTTTTTTCATGGAATGATTATTACCCAGATGTTATTCTTTCATGTTTCAGGTCATCAAGAAAATAACAACTTTTGTTCAGTTAATATAAACATTGGTCCAGGTGACTGTGAATGGTTTGTTGTTCCTGAAGGTTACTGGGGTGTTCTGAATGACTTTTGTGAAAGGTAGGCCTTTAAACAACTTAACAAATAGAACTTCCTTAGCCAAGTTTTACTACTATTTAGCAGAAATTAACTTAAAATTATTTGATTGCAAATCTATTATTTTGTGTTATCAAGAATACTTTTTAAAATGCTATGAAACTGAATTTAAAGGATAATAACTTTGAGTTGTTTATAGCAGTTAAAAAATTTGATGCATACATACTTGTTTGCAAAGTATATACTCCAAGAAATATTGTTTAATTATAAATGGGTTTTAGGAGTGGGAGGGCTCGTAAAACCTAGCACATTTAATGTTAATAACTTAAGCTTCCAACACAATACTCTTTCCCAAATCCGCATGATTTAAATTCTTATTAAAACTGCATTAACAAGTCTTCCTATAAAGAGATTTTATAAAATTAAATTACCTACTTGCAATTTTGTTTTCTCCAGAAGAAATAACTTACATAGGGGAAGTCCTTTGTGTAAGAATCTAGGAATAGGCTTTACTTCTGTGGCTTCTATTAAAGGATACCTTGGAATTGTTTTCATTGGTTTCAATGTAATTATTTGTCTACATGCAATCTTACTCATTTTAACCCCCTGAATCGTACTCCATTATAATATCATCTAATATTTTCAGTTAGTAAAGCAGTGGTTCTCAGCCTGTGGGTTGCGAATCATTTGGGGGGTCAAACGACCCTTTCACAGGGGTCACCTGATTCATAACAGTAGCAAAATTACAGTTAAGAAGTAGCAATGAAAATAATTTTATGGTTAGGTGGTGACCACAACTTTTGAGGAACTGTATTAAAGGGTCGCAGCATTGGGAAAGTTGAGGACCACTGTAGTAAAGTGATTGAAAAAATTATTTTATAGAAATGCAAAAATCATAAATTATCCATATTGGCAATTATATATCTCCAATTAGGGGAAAGAAAAAGGAAATCAGAAATATACATGAAAACTAGACACATTCCACATGCATTCATGTAGTTTTCTGCTTTGGCTTAAAGGATCTTTACTGTAAATATTTTCATTTGTTAAGAAGTTCATCTTTGTTTAAATAAAAAACAAAACAAAGCTATTCATCCAAAATTTTCTTATATGCCAACAGATGGTCACCTTTTATTGTCTTTCCTGTTTAACATTATATTTATAGATGTGGAATTTTAAAGTTTTCAATGTACTAATAAAATGTACTATTTTAATGTTTACTTATTTTTGCCAACCAGAAATCCAGTAGATCAAAGACAGAATAGTGTCATGTGGAAATCCTTCATTCTCTGCAGACTGATTTTTAGGTTAAACTTTGGGAAAAGTTTAAAGGTTAAAGTTTGGGAAAACAGTATATTGTTGCAAGTATGGTACAATGTTCCTTGTTTGTTATTTCTGAGTTGTGATTGGCTATTGCCAGCTTTCTCCTTTCTGACTAGAGAAATATCCTGGGTACAAAGATAATTAGAATAAGCAGATGATAGTCGAAAAGTTTGACCTTGGGTTTAATAAAATATCAAGTTAGTTTGAAGGTAATAGATAATTTTAGCTAAGTCAAAGAAATAGTGCTTCCTTTAGAATTTCACTGTAATTTTGTTTCACATTAGGATCATTATGTCTACTAGTAACCATTTCTATAAGTTACAAACTTTAATACCTGTCTTAAAATAAATATTTTTGAATGTATGATAAACAATGTTTGATTTTATTGGGGGGTAAGTTTGAATTTTTTTTAGTTAGTGATTATTTAGGTTTTTTTATAGAAAGTTTTCTCCAGTTGTGTTATAATACATGAGTGAAACTAGGCAGGTATTTCTGTTTATAACAATGTATTTGCTTTCAAATAGGCAGATGATATCCTAAAAGTTTGCTCTTGGGTATAATAAAAAAATTAGTATTAAAGAATACATAAATATAACTAAGTCACAGAAATAATATTTGCTTACATCAACTTTTTCTGGTATCTGTCTAGGTATTTAGAATAATAACAAGTGGTCATCCAATCCTTAGTCCCTTTGAATTTAGGTATCATGGTTTGTCTGTTCTGTACTTAGCTCAAAAGTACCCTAGAATTTTTTAGGACAGAAAAGAAAATGATGAGTTACTAAGGTTTCATCTTGCTGTCAATTAATAAATATTTTAGTTTTTTTCAGGTCATATCTGTCACAACTTGATCATTGTAGCACAGAATTCAAATTCACTGCTATCAAGTTGATTTCAACTCATAGTGTCTTTGTAGGTTTTGAGACTAATAATTAATGGGCTAGAAAGCCTCATATTTCTCCCATGTAGCACTTCGTGGTTTCCCACTGCTGACCTTGCAGTTAGTTAGCAGCGCAAAGTGTCGTCCACTTTGCCACTAGGACTTCTGTAGTCATAAATAGTACTTAAAGGAATAATGTTCAAATAAAACCTTATTTGAACAGGCTATACTTGTACCATGTACCATAGTTTGACAAGCGCTGATCTTGGCAAAACTTAAATCTAGGAAAATATTTTTAAAGTGACCTTTGCCATATACTTTAACACAAAACTGAAAATTAAATAAAGGTTATTTTTTAAATTTTAAAGAAGGAGCCATTTCCACTATGAAAGCTCTGCCCAATAAAATAAAATCTAAAGTAATTAATTGAATTTCATAAAAGTAATGTAGACATAGTTTCTAAAATGCTTCATAATAGCGGTTCTCAACTGGTGGGTCGCGACCCCTTTGGGGGTCGCCTGATTTATAACAGTAGCAAAATTACAGTTAGGAAATAGCAACGAAAATAATTTTATGGTTAGTGGGGTCACCACAACATGAACTGTATTAAAGGTTCACGGTATTAGGAAGGTTGAGAACCACTGCACTATAAGATGTATTAAGAAACCAGATCTTAAATTACTAAAAGGTTAATAATATGATTAAAGAGCTCTGGTGGCTGCTTATCACAGGGTTGGCCGTTCAAATCTACCCAACAGCTCTTTGGGAAGAAGAACTGGTAGTCTCCTGTAAAGATTATAGCCTAGAAAAAAGCACTATTGGGCCGTTTTACTTTTGAGGATTTACTTTGAGTCTAAAATTGAATCAGCCGTACCTAACAACATTATTATATTCTGTAGAACATCTCCAAAGTATCCTGTGGTGGTATGTGTGTGGTTATTCGTTTAGTTTTTTTTCAACAGCATTGTCTTAATCATTCAAACAACATATCGACAGACATTCTGTCCCATTCTTCCTGCTTACAATTCAAAGCAGCCACAGATGACTTGTCTACTACTTTGCCTCAGAAATTGAGGGTAATTCCTAGTACTTACCATGTATCTGCTATAGTATTCCTGTTTATGGATTTAAATGA